GCGTATAAAGATACAGCACATGTTCTTCCAACCAAATATGTAAATGAGAACACAAAGTAAAGAGCCTCCCAAACGTCGTGCATTGGTTTCAAACTATTTAGAAGCTGTAAGCAAATAAAATACAAATTATTAGCAAATGATAATAATATCACCGGCGACAAAAACTCATCAAAGTCTTTAGTTAACGACGCTAATAGGTTATATGTTTCTCTAGATTTCCGCCAATATGTACCTGGAAGCACCTTTCCTTTGATACTGGCTAGTTTTTGATTAAGCTGCTTAAATCTATCGGACAAAGCACATGCTAGTATGATAATAAATAAATCCATATAATTCCAAGCACAAGCAAGCATACAATTAAAAAGTCCCAAAGGTACAGCTATTACAAGTGAATAATTGATTAATGTAAAGACTTGTCGAAAAGACATTGAGAAGTAAGCTCGAAAAATATCAAGTCCACCCGTCGAACAAGGAATTGCTTTCATTATTCCCGTTATAACGGAAGCAGAGTGTTCAACTGTAAAATTTAAAAAACTCCATAAAATTCAACATAGCTACATGGCTTAACCTCGTTATTTTTGTCCCAACAATACATTTTTCAAATTAAAATATTTAGAATTTTTAGTATATAAATTAAGAGTTATATTTTAACATAATTCGATTTTTTATCATTTATAAATTTTTTTTAAATGGTTATATTCTTACACACGAGTCACTATTTTAAATTATAAATTGTTGAAAAAAAGAAGATTTTTTTTATGATTAAGTACTCTGTATAAATCAAAATTCGAAGAGTTATTAAAGTTTAAGTAAAATAATAGTCTATAACAATAGATTAAACGATATAAAGGCTCAACGATTTAAAAATTATTATTAGTTTAAAATATTAATTAATATTAAAATGTAGTAATTTGCTTGAAAATATCGAACAGCCATCTTCAATCAATTTCTATCACTATCAAATTATCATGATTCAACTGCAAAACAAAATTGAAAATTGTTAATACTATTTATTCTTTTATTTGTATATAAACATAAATGAAATGTAATAGTTATTTTCACTCAATAACCTATCTCATCAAACAGTTAAAATAATAAAATTACTATATATAACTTCAACTTAAACAAAATTAACTTGAAAATCCCTTTGAGTATAGTTTTACATACCTACTATAGACTGTATATTACATATATTAAATTGTCTATAATATGTAAAATAATTAATAAGAACTAATATAGTAATATCCATAGTACTGCAAAAACATCTCGTTAAATTTTCCAATTATAAAAATAAATAACAATTTTCAAAAAAATTGAACTCTTTAACAATATTGTAATAATATAATATGATTCCTATTTTAAAAACGTAGCTTACAGTTCTTCAGAACACTTATTAAAAAAGTATGTTCATAAAGTATTTTAAAATATGGTTTTATTATACTACATAATTTTAATAGATACGCATTATTTAAGGATATAAGTTAAATAAGCATGCTTATAGTAAATAAACTTGTAGATAAAATATCGTTAAAGTGTTTAATTGTATCATATATTTATATACACAACATAATTGCACTTAATCAAAAATTGTAATCGGTCGATTTTCATAAACTAACCAATATACTAATAAATATATTTATTTTTTATCATTATATTTTCAAAATGTATTATCTAATACAATAGTAATCATACATTTTTTTTTTTTTAATAGTAATTATAATATATAAATTATTCTATTGTAAATGCATAAAATAATATTAACACAAATTAAAATACTACTCTTGAGTTAAATTTTTTTTTGACAATTTTAGGTAATTTAATCAATATTAATAAACAATGGCTTATGTTGACTGAATAAATATAAATAAACTTGATGCCTTTAACTCAGCTAAAAGTATCTACTTTCTATTAAGCAAATTATTACATAATTTATAATGATAAAATACTTCAGTATAAATGTTAACTTAATACAGAATAGGACAACAGATAATTGCTAACTTATGTCTGCTATTCAAACACATTAATTTTATTATTAATTAGATTTAATTAAATAAACGATATTTTATTTTGAACGTACTTAAAGCAAGCGTCATTACAATACTTGTAAGAATTTTGAACTTAATAGCCATTTTGGGAGGATAACCAAACTGTCTCATTTCACGTTCCATTAGTTCCCATTTTTCCATAACTTTTGGCCATTCCCTGGCCAAATGAATAAATAAGATATAAATTACCAGTGAACTTCCGAAAAACATAATTTCTCCTGTGAAATAAATAATATTTAATGTATAATGTAAATCATCTCAATGTTATTACCAAAAAAATAAAATTGTATGACAAAATCTGATTGACATTCTCTTTATAAAACAACCATATGAGTAGAATAGAAACTTCTGTAATAGCGTATATTATTATATTATAGTAATGTAGTAGGTACATTAACATTTTTTTTTGTAAAATATTATTATTCTAGAAATATTTTACTCATTAACATATTACAAAGTTTTAATTTTTTTGAAAACATTTTTCATCATTATTTTTCAAGTTTTATTCTTTTTTGAATTTCAACAAACATTTTTTTATTTTATATTTATTGGAGTAAGGACATATAAGTTTAATTTCGAAAAATTAGTTAATTAAGGTCTAAATATTCTGCAAAGATTTACAAGATATCTCTTTGCTACTTTAATGACTTTGTCTGAAAATGAAATGCTTTTATAAAACATGATTTTTAGCACCCTATAATTTGCGCTAACTTACAATCTAGGCCATTTGTACTATGGTGAGCAAGGATAAATACATATTGAAGGTAGATTATGCAATTTTATAAATTGAATTCTTCGTGTAGAAAAATAAGTATGGAAATATGGAATAATGGGTATTGAAAACAAATCATAATTTGAATCAATAAAATTAAGTGCCCATCAGGTATTCTAATTTTAAAGACAAATATTCTAAGTTAGGAGTATAATGTTCGGTCATATATTTACGTAAAGAATGTTTTCCAGTTAAATTGCGAAACAAAATTAATATTTATTAAAAATAATTCAAATTATTTATTAATACGTTTGTATTAACATGTATAAGTTCCATTTATATATTTAATGTGAGAACACCATGGTAAACCATTAGATTTAATTAATAGAAAAATTGTATAAAATAACATAATGCAGGAGTAAATGATGAACAGTTTCACTCCAAATTTAGAACTTGAAACAAATATATTATTATACTATTGTAGTATCGTTTTAATTTGAGTATCGAAAATAATAATTACTTATTTAATACGTATTTAATAAACTTACAATTTTATGCTACTTGCCAATGTATGTGAATCAATATTCAACTAATTTTATAAATTCGAAGGAAATTAATAACATTTTTTCCAGAAACATAATAATTACCCGTGCTGTAATACGTCAGTCCAGTCATGTATATTTTGATGAATGAAAATGAAAGAATTAAAAGGGACGCAGCTATCACAATGCATACATAAAAAACTGTCCAGGAAAACCAATTGAAACTAAAAAATAAAATAAAATATTTAAGATAATATAATATAATAAGACAATTTAAAAATATTATTTATTAACACAAAATAGATCAAACCTTCGGCGTACAAGAAAACGGTTCTAAATAAAGACAAGACGTGTCAATTTTTATTTCAAAAAATATTTTATATCATTATAATACCATCAATAAATTATTTTTCAATTAATAGTGCATGGTATATTGAACTATTTTTTTTTATTTATTTTTTTTTAATAGTATATTTTATTATACTATTAATTATTATAAAATATTGTTATTATATTAAGTTTAATTTATAAATCAATACCACGTACCACACAAACGATGTAAGCTTTAAGTTCTTACTTCTTGATATGGCTTTATCTTAAATATAAATATTTTTAAAATTACGTTGAACATAGGAAATAATAATATTTAAGTAATATTGGAATATTCTAAGTTTTTACGATCAAGAATTTTTTAATTATAACAAAATAACAAAAGTCATTCGATCCATTAATTCATTCAATCAAAGTTTGAATCCAATGTCATCTAAATTTTAAATTCATATGAACATAAAAAAATATAATGATTTAATGCTTAACTTTTTTTTTTAATTCTAGAGTCAAAAACTTATGAGAAATTTTGTATCAAAATATCAAACTTTATAGATGTTAAAATTAAAAAAGCTTATACATTTTTAACTACCAAATAATTTACACATTTTTATGATTTTGACAAATTAGAGATAAAATTTCTCTTAAAAAATAGACTGTTATTTTTGTAAGAAAAACTTATGAAGAATTATGTACTTAATTTTCATTATTTTTTTTATATACAGATAATACCTTCATCATTATTGGTACATAAACACAAAACAATGTCAGAAAATACAATGTTTATAAATAGTACTAAAAGAGCCAATATTTTTAAAATTTTATTATATTTAGAAAATTAAATTACATATATTTAGTAAAAATGTTAAAGGTATGATTATTTATTCTTAATAAGAAATAAAATTGAATTTGTTGAAAAATAATTTTGTATAAATATTCCTGATTTTTATAATTTGTTTTCTTTATTTTTCATAATCATTCTAAAAATTAGTGTGAAATTTTATTTAACTTTTTCTTCCCCTAAAAAGTACTAACTAAATCAAATTTTCTAAAAATGTAAACTCAATTTATTTTACTAAATTTGAAAATCGAAGCATTTTTAGAACTCCAAAAAGAGGCGAGTAATGACTAATATTAAAAAAAAAAAACAAAACCAATATACCTCTTCTCAGATTCTATAATATTATGACGTAAAAATTGATTGAATTATATTTTCGAAATATTGTTTTTTCTAATATATTTATGACACATAACTTAGTGTAAAATATTTTTTTTATGTAGGTATCTAAATTCGTTACCTATATTTTAGAAGAACATGTATGATGAATCACTCTGTATTCTGTCAAATACATTTTAATATGGTTTTACTCACACTAAATAACTTGTATTTTTTCCTTGAATTCCTTGAACTGGTAAAAGAGCACAAATTTGCGCCAAAATTAATACTGGAGTGATGGCTCTGTGCAATGAATTTTTATCACTAATTATATTCGTCCGAATATCATCTTCTAGGGCTTTAATTCTTACGTAGTTTACCGGCATGCCAAGTTCATCTTGTACTTCAAGTTCTGTAATAAAAAATAAATACTATTGCGTTTCAAATATTCGTATGTATTACAATAAAACTAACAGGTACAATAAAACATATTTTCCCATAAGGCTATAACTATTGTTATGTTTTGTACGCAATTTTACAACTTTTGCCCTATCACTATCCTTATAAATGTCAATTTTTAACAATAAAAATAAAATGTATACACATAAAAATAGTTACAGAAACTGTAATATCATAGAACATCATAATTTACGTATATTCACATAGCCCTCAGAATACATTATTATTATTATTATACTAGCACTTTCCTCATTCTTGTGGCTTAAATCCGTCAAATCCTAGGCGTTACCGGTAAAACAATACATGCGTACAATGTACCGGTGAGACTTTATCGGAACTGCATAATTTAATAATTTATTTTTAACTATAACAAAGCATTTTAACATCATGGTTATTTTTATTTACAAGCTGTGATTATGTAATAAAAAATGGTTCAATGTCCATTCAGTAGTATTCAAAATATTTTATTAAAAACCATTTACTGTGTTAGATATTATGGCATTACTTATAATTTATAAAACAATAAATTATCAAAACTAGGTAGATAGGTTGATGGACACTAGTAAATTACCTATGTATTTCTTTTATTACTTAAAAATTAAAATTAAAACTAACAACGCTGCATTTTATATGCTATATAAAATAAATAATTTATAGACATAAATTTATACAAAAATTAGTATTACTACTGGTGTATTTTTCCATTTTGTCTTTTGAATTAAACGTCGAATCAGCCAACTGCAATTCATTTGGTTGAGGCTGCTGCTGTCCGTACGTGAAATCCCGATTTTTTAAATACACCGGTTCGGTATTTCCATCAAACATGGTCGGGACACGAATACGTCAAAACAGACGAAAGTATAAATGCTCGTATAAGTATAACCTATACAATAGTATTGTTTATCATCGTAATATATTTATGTGCGCCAACTATTATGCACCTATAAGCTATAGCGTATCGTTTATTACCTTTATGTGTTCTTTATATTATTATCGACGTGTCGTTCAATACTGTTTTATCTGCATAACGATCAAAAACGCAAGGTTAATTGTGTTAACACAATGAATACATATTTTTCAATGACATTCGTTATTCGATAAGCGTAACAGACAGCAATAATTGTATAATGGATGTTTTAGGTGGTAGATGAAACGTACGATTATAACATCAAACATACGTATGTTCATGTCTAAAACTGCACTATATTATGTAATAAAGCTTTGAAATCGAAATAACTCATAATATCCCTAAAAAAACATTAAAATATCAAACACTCGAAAACCACATACCTAACCAAAATTATTTGTTTTCCAAAACACTTGAGTATAGCATTCCGGGTAATCCAAAACATGAATAATTGTATACATATACCTATCAATTAATAAATTATTATTTGAAATAACAAAAGTACAAAAATATCTTGAGACATTTATTCTATTGATGATTATATACCTACTATAACCTAGTTGAATAGTTAATAAATATTTTTTTGATTTAAAAATAAGCGAAATCAACAGATATACCTACTTAATATGAACTTTAATTAGATGATAAGTGCCTACTGTAATATTATATTCTAGATAACTCTAGATCTTTAAACGAGTTTGTCTCAGTGAGGCCCATACGGCCACACTCCAAATTAATCAAAAAAAAAAAGAAAAGATTAAAATCGAATGATAAAAAATATATATATTTATAAATCTATCTATAGTTTTTTGACATTTTGGGTCAATAAACACATAATGCAGTTTTATAACACATGTATAATATGATTTTTTTATTACTATCAATAATATTACTAACATATTATTAAATATTTTAATTTTAATTTTTTATAATATTAATCAATATATCAAACATTCTAAACTGAATAATAGTAATCTCATTAAAGTGTACAAATAATATGCATGAATAAGTAATTTAAAAATCTAAAACATATTTTAAAATATATCACATTAAAAAATATTTTATTTTTATTATAGAAAAACAATAATAAAACATCATAGACAATTCAATTATACTCCAAAATATCTCTGATATCAATTTGTGTTACCCTCCGCTCACTAGAAATGATTTTTGACAACTAATTCAAATGAACCTCGCACCTAAAAAAACTTAAAAGTACATACAAATGTTCCAAATGAACATCATTGAAACACTTTTCCACCATATGAACATAGGTAATAGACAATAGTTGATAACTACGTAATAAGTAATAAGTAGGTACCTAATGATTATTATTACACATTTTATGCTTGGTAAAAAATATATTGTTATAATCATGGCTAAATATCATCATTTCGTGCATAGGTTTTAATTTTTTATTTTTATTGTAATTATATTAATGTAGGATAGGTTTTATAGATATTAGATGATTTTAAGCAGGGTCAGCGCAAAAGTAGTGCAACCGGTGCACATAGGTACATAGGGCCCCACGTAAATGTGCGGTCTCGCGGAAGCAGAGTTTACTCCAGGAAAACAAATAATTATTGACTAAATATTATAATTTAAAAAAGATAACATTATTAATAATAATATTACGTCTTAAAAACTACAGTTGAAATAATAGTTTAGTAATATCCCAGACGACAGCACTAACATATTTATATTAATACTAATTATTGACGTAATGACATGTTAAAATATGATAAATTATTAAATAAAATTTATTGTATTATGGTTGATAATATCGTTTACACCCAAGTAAATTGTAATACAATAATTTCTTTAATAAGTGCCTTAAACCCGTTCTACAGTTTAACTATGCAATTTGTTGTGATCACTTTGTAATTTTCTCAATGGTGAAAAATAGATACCGGTATAGGTACCAAAGTTTAGAAGTTTTACTAACCCAATACTTCAAATTCAAAATGGATTAAAATAATAAAGTTGAAACTTAATCTACTGAATCATAGTCCCGCCCACCGAGTTAAACTTAACATGATGTACCTAATAATAACGCCATATGAATGCGAAATATTATAATAAAATATGAATAATAGGCAAATACATATTTGAATCTAAAATGAGTTCGTTGCAACTCAACGGATTAGATTAGGATAGGTGAATATATTTTTATATTGTATAATTTAAAAATAAATTATAAAAACAAATAAAAAAAATCTTTATATTTTTAACTTAAAATTGAAATTAAATACTGTAGTTATCGACTAAAAATAACAACGGCACGTGTTTTCCAAGCGGTCGCCCATCCAAGTATTGATTACGCCCGACGTTGCAGCATTTTAGCGATCGGACAAGAACTTAGTGGTGTATTCAACACGATATGGTCGTTGGCAAAATAGTGTTAGAAAATAATAATAATTAAATACAATAAACAGTGAAATGGCGATCATTAGAATTTAGTTGCCTTGTAGAGATAAGGAAGACTGTTATCAATGTGTATACAAACAATAATAATATTACAATGATAAGAAATTCAAAGCCTTACACATGTGGTTATTGTGGTTGGATATTAGATAATAATAACGACTGATTTGTGAAAAATATTATTTAATTTTGAATTTTAATAGTATTAAACTTTTCTTTAACTCCTCCCCGAAATACTGAAAATAATGCCCACAAATGTTTATAGAATTCTAGGACCCGATGGGACCATACCCTATCAGCAATACTTAATCGATAAAAGCAATAATACACTTGTAGAAATTGCTACAGCATTAATGAAGGATGTACGTTGCGATGGCAGAGATTTTTCAACCCATAGAAATTTATGTAAGATTTGAATACCTAATAATGCTATTAAATGTTTTGCTTGATATATTTTTTTTTATCAAGGTATCAAGACTGGTGTTGTTACACAAGCTAAAGGATCAGCCTATTTGGAATGTGGTAGTACTAAATTAATATGTTCTGTATTTGACCCAAAAGAAGTTCCAAATAAAGTAGAATATGCTAAAACTGGAGAACTTCAGTGTGAATTTAAATTTGCTACATTTTCATGTAGACAACGGCGTGGTTATTCAAGGGATTCTGAAGAACGGCAATTGTGCAATGAACTACGTAGAGCCTTAGAACCTGCTATTTGTAGAGTGAGTGTTGATTTAAATAATTTATGATAGTTTTGAACATAAATTAGTTTGTATTTAAGTATTGATGCTTCTTATTATATCTACAATTGATTTTAATATTAAATAGATAGTTAAAATTTTTTTTTAATTTCATTAGTTACTTTTATTTTTATTTGAATGATTTTAGTAACTTGTGTAGTGTACACAAAATCAAATTGTATACTATAAGTAAAATTATTTTTAAATATTTTTATTTTACAGGGTGAATTTGCAAATTTTGAAATTCATATTAATGTTCTAGTATTAGAAAATGATGGGTCTGTGTTGGCTACTGCAATTACAGCTGCAGGACTTGCATTAATGGATGGATGTATACCTATGTATGATGTGATTGTTGCCACTTCATTGGTTTGTTATTTTTTTTACATGATTAATGGACATACATTAATTATTAACGTGTGCGAGCATTAGCAATTTTCTAAAAAAATATTAAAATAGTAACATGAGTTACAATGTTCAAATTATTATTGCAAAGGTCACATGTTTGAAAATATATTTTACAAAATTAATTAAAACCTAAAGAAAGTTATTCTATAGTATAGTAGGTTTTTCCATTTCATATCTCCTCCGAGACTGGTCACACATAGCTCTCTATTTATTTTCTAATGATATGTATAATATTACATTAACTATTAATTTATTTTTCTGTTAGAAATATAATATGTGAACTAATTTTTAAATTTTTTAAACTTTTAACTTCAATTGTTATTTACAAAATGAATAACTATATTTTTATAAATATCCAATTTCATCAAGTCTATTAAAATCAGTTGTGCTTATATTTTTAAATTTCTGTTGAAACAATTTTTGAGAAATTTAGTACTAGGATTATGATTTCATAGCATATTGTCAAGTAAAATAAATAATTTAAAATTTAAAATTTCTTCGAATAGCTTAAGTTAAAATATTTAAAAAAGTTATATTATACCTAGAGAACGCTAGTATAAAATAAATATCTGTGGTTATTTATTTAAAAAAATCGATATTGTTAAAAACTGATGTTTTGTTAGTATTCCCGTGTTTTTTAATTTTAACCAAAATAAACAATATGATCCATTTTTATATTAGAATCTATTGAATATTGATTACATATTCCCAATGCTGTGTCATTTAAAACCAAATATTTGTTATAAAACTTAGTAGTGTCTTATATTTATTGACTAAATTAATTAAAATTCAATACCTTGTAAAACCAAATCAAACTTCAATTCATATATAAACTCCTTTTGTTTTAATCATAATCAAAACTAGTTTCATCCCTTAAATCATTGACATAATCTAAGCTATATTATTTACAAACTAGAAAAATATTTGTTATCATTATAAGGTATTATTAAAATAATAAATTAATTTTTGAATAATTATGTAAACTAAGTCAATAATTCACACTTAGTACTTATTTTCAGTTTTTTATGATTGAATGTTTAGTTTAAATTATATTACATTTAATACTGAGCAACAATAACCCAGAGCATAAATGTCTACAATGTAGTTAAATATTTTGAAAACAATTGCATCCATTTAATTTTTATTAATACTCATTTATTTGGCTATATAATAAGTTTTTAATAATTTATAAAACTTATTTTAAAGATATTTTACTGTGGTCAATTTATTATAAAAATTGTAAGGAGTATGTTTTAAAATTCAAACTATAACTATGTGATCATTAGGATTAAGGATATTCTAAAGAAACAAAAATGTAATTTTTTCTATGATTAAATTTATTTATTTTTTTTTTTACTTATTAATGTAAAATTGTTTGTTTTTTTTTTATAGGGTATTTACAAAAATAAAATTTTAGTAGATCCTTCTTATGATGAGGAAACATTGTGCTCATCTAGGACAAATGATGGAGAAAACAGAGGCACTGTAATGTTAGCTTATATGAAGAATTTGCAACAAATTACAGAATTTGCACAGAATGGTTCAATGGATGTTAACATGTTTCCAGAATATGTGCAAACATTAATTAATCAAAATTGTAAACTATACAAAATGGTGATCTCTGCAGCTAGAAAAGATGTTATTGAATATTTTGAAAATGAAACTAAAGAATGATCAAACATTTTAATGTATTAATTCAATAATAAGAATATAAAATATGTTTTTAAAGATCGTATTTCTATTAAGTTCAAAGCTGTAATTTTATATATTGGTACTTGTTTAATAATCATTGATTTAAATATGATTAAATTAAAATTAAAAATACCTGCCTTTTCTTTAAAATTATTTTATTCTATTCAGGATTTGTTTTTAAATAAGTAATGTCCTCCTATTAAATATATTTAATAAGTAAAAAAACAAGTTTATTTAAAAAAGCTATGACTATAATTGAATTAAAATGTGTATTATTTGGTGACTTTATATCATTAGTAACATGTTGCCAATGCATATAATCTGTATGATGGACGACTACAATCACTCATTTGAAATAATTTATTACTATTTTAGGTTATAGTTGGCATGTGAGCAAGTTTAGTGAATACAGCAAACTGGTACTTATTTGTCTACCTTTTTTTATTTTATAAATGCTGATAAAAAATTATTTATTTGACAAAAATACTTTAAAATTAAATACAAAGATCCTCATAAGATTTTAATACACTTTTTAAAAAAAAAAAATCTTATCTAGTTATTTATTTTTTTATGAATGTTTGAAGTTTAAATTTTTACTATATTGAATAATATTTGTCAGTAAAAATAACTATTTTTACTCTAAGTTATTTGTAGTCATTTCAATTTTTTTATTTTTACAAATGTCTATAAAAATTAATTCAAATTTTTTAAAAGCATCTAAAGTTTAAAGTTTTACAAAATTAGATATTTAAATTAAGAACAAAAATATTCAGTATTTTGTTATAGTTCAAAAACATTATTTGTAGAAATAACAGTTTTAGGTATATCATTATATTTCATACGCACAATGATATACATTTATTTTTTTTTTTTTAACAAAAATGAATTAGTAATACCCACTTGCTTATTTTGTTTCTCTTTAAATTAAAGTAGATATAAACTGAACCTCAATATAAATTACTATACTAGATAAATAATATATACAGTTTAGAATGTATCAGTTTAATTGTACAATATTATAAAAATTCATTGCAAATAAATTGAAAAAAACGATTTTTAATACATATAGATTTTTAACTTAGTTAAATATTAAAACATTAAACTGAAAAATACATTAATAGTCCATAAGTCTATTCATCTGGTTTTTCTGGTGGAGGGCCACAAGGCTGCAACATTTTTTCCATTAAATTGAACCGTACCCTTGCTTTAGCTTCATTCTCAGCAATTCCAAACCAATTCAATAAATCATAATGGCCAAGATATGAAGCACATGAGTCACGATGTTGATTTACTTGCCATTCAAACTTGGTTGTATCTGCATGGCCTGTACCAATGTATTTTGACTGAAGGTGCTCCAATTGACTGTGAATATTGTATCGGTCACCCATGATCTTTGAAATAAAATAATAAAGTAAGAAACAATAAACATATTTATACTATCATAAACAACTAAATTTGCTTTAAGTGTGATATGGCTATATCATACATAATAAATTTTCGTCTTAAACTCATAGCTCGAGTATACATTTTTAGAAGTTCTGTATTTGTCTCAACTGGCTGAGTATAATTATGCAGTGGTATTCGATCTAAATGTTCTTTATCAATATTAATAGTCTGCGGCAACTCAATTTCTGACCAAACTAGTTTTCTTAGTTCAACACTATGTTTTCTTTGTAAAGGAAGCAATACATATGCACCAAACACTGTGTCAGAATACGATACACTTACATAATGTTCACATAATGTTTTGTAAAAATCATAGAAAGATTCAACTCCTTGTATAGGATCTTTAAAGTTCAAATTGTTGTTTTGAGCTGCATATACATGCCAAATTTCATTCAACATTGATTTTACTTCATGAAAAATTGTACCACGACGACCACACATAAATGTACAAGCTACACGGCAATAACGTGCAGCCAATGGAGTTTGTTCACAAACTTCTGGATGATTTATTTCCATAAACAATATATTAGCTAATGCTTCTTTAAGAAGTGCTTCACCTTCTTTTGAGCTTTTAAAATTTTCAGTTTCATGAATTTTCAAAATTGGTAAAAATAACCAATCCTTTGGTAAAATAGGATTCAATTCATTAATTAATATACTTGCACAAGTGCTTTTGATATTGGGTATAATTAATTCATAGAATGATTTTAATATTTCAAAATCGCTTTCATACTTGATATTTTCTTTGAAATAATTGTTAAAATATAATTTCAATACATAATAAAATTCTTCAGTCATATATTTAGGTATGAATGACATAAGTGTTATTGCAATTTTATGGGTTGAGTCTAATTCAAATTGAATGTTTTTCAAAGTTTTTAGTAAATATATTAAAAAAATTATTTCATACTTGCAATACCAATGTGAAGCTTCTATAGATGATTTCATTAGTTTATTTAGATATATCCAAAACTCTTTAGGGATATTAAAATGACTGGTATTATTGCATAAGAATTTCATAAGTCCAATCAACATGAATAAAGGCTCTCCTCCACTTAATGATAAGTTTATATATCCAAGATTAGGATAGCATTTTGGACTATTGTTCACATAATTGCTCATTAACCATGATTTATTTGATAGTATTTCACAAATTTTTCCAAAATGTTTATTTAAATATTCAACTGCTTTCAAAGAAACAGAATTAAATTTTAAGTTCTTAGAACTGAGGACAGAGAAGCAGTTACCTATCAGTTTTGAAGTTTCAAAGTTCGGTAGATCAGAGCTACTTAATAGTTTAGCTAAAATAATTTCTGTAAGCTGATAAACTGGATCAATATAGATTTGACCAAAATTTCTCAAAGCTGAGTCAATTAAACTTAAACTTGCTGACATTAAAGACAAATCAGTGTTTGTTAAATCTCCACTAAGCCCAACTGAGCGATCAACAAACTTTAATACAAGATTAGCTACTTCAGTAATTGTTTGACCAGCCAACTTATATTCAAAAAATGTCTGCCACAAGTATAAACATTCTAATAGTAATGGAGTCTTTGTCGGATTATTTATATACTTAAATATAGAATCTAAAATTTTCATTTCTAATAGTTTTAAAGCACATTTAACTGATTGACTACCAATTACACGAGTGAGGAATATAAATATTTCTGATAAATCATCAGATTGTAAATTAGTAAAAACTAAAGAATACAAATGTTTGTACAAATTTGTCTCAACAACTATAAGTGCATATTTTTCTCCTCTTGAAGCAATTCCAGTTAAAATTTCTGTTATGTCTAAAAGACAACTAGATCCTATATTCATATTGAAAACAATATACTGTAATCTTAAAATTAAGTCAGTTCTCAGTGCTCCTTGTACAAGATCTAATACAATCAAATCAAAATCAGAGGATTTTTCTAATTCATTTTGATTGATTTCTGCATCTGCAACTATGTAAACAGGTAAAGTAATATTACAATTACATCCTGATAAACCAGTTAATATTGTACGGTCAGATTTTCTTGAAAATAAATTTCCAATAGCTTTCAATGCATTTGTAATAATTGCAATGTTAGTGTCATCTAATGCAATTCGTAATAGTAAAAACATACCAGAATCCATCAGAGAACATAAAAGTGGTTTGTCTAAAACTGAATCATAGGAGCAAGCATTATTTATGAGTTTTGACAAAACATCTAAGGCTAATATTCTTTGAGGAGCATGATTTTTACGTAGAAAAGAATAGAGTTCATCTATAGTATATCCAGGACGATGATGTTCTTCACCGTGATGATGTAAACCGTCAACTGTAGTTTTATTTTCAATTATATAAGGTAGCAGTTTGCCATCAAGACCAAAACGAGCAGTATAAACATCTTTGTTTTCAATTTCAACATCCACATCACAAGTCCATCCAAGTTTTTCTTCTTCAATTACATCCATATTTAGACCATTGTTAATCAGATCTTTCATATAAGATAAATGTTTTATTTTATCTTCTTTTATTTTATTTTGGGTATTGACCAATTTTACTCTATCGCTGTCTTTTTGTTTGAGATCATATTTTCCATGCGTGCAGTCATTGTTTCGTTTAGACTTTAAAAATTCAATTAATTTTCCATCCATACTATTAATCAATTCATTTTTTGCATTCAGTAACTCCTCATCACTCATACTAGAAAGTTTTTGTACATTTTCTTGGTGTATATCACTGGCTTCAGGACCACTCAATATAATACTAGAACTTCCAAATGAAGTGTTGCCGAGTTTAGATTCAAGAGACAAATCGTTTTGTTGATTTATTCGTTTTTGCATTTTTAAAGCAAAGAGACTGGGTTTCCGTGAATTGGTAGACATTTTTTTACCTATTTACAATGATTTGAAATTTCAGAAAACTATTATATTCATGAAACTAATAACTAATGATGTTACATAAATAAAAAAAAAAATAATCATATTTTTTTACCTGTTTTATTTCTTGTAATTATTGTATGTACTATGTTCAAAAAAATATCGTTTAAATGTGTGTTTACTGTTTATAATGTTTATCGTTTATACATAATTGTCATAACTTAAAACTTTTCGATTATAAGTTTCTTACTTCCAACTCCCGGTATGAACCACTTCACAACGATAATACAATATTATTATCACACTATCATCAAGTTTTCTGCGGACAAGAGAAAAACATCGGATTTGTGGTTGTGTGCTTTGGTCACACTGGAATGTCACGCAAGGCGCTATTTCTCCTTTTTCTTTGCGCCATTTTAGTGTTAAGCCATTCCGTTTCTGCCGTTTCAGTTTTCTCTGTTCAGTGTTTATTCAACTGTGTGAATGATGTACTGTTCCCGTGCAATTATTGTGTGCACGCATTCATTATTAATACTGTTGACAATCATGACAAGACTATTTTTATTTTGATTCATAATTTATGAAAACTTTAAACCACTGAACTAGTAAATTCGGTAAAATTGAGTACTGTGCTACGGCACTGCGCAACACTTGAAAAATGGCCGCCAGTGACTCAAAGGCTCCAATCCGAAGTGTCAAACGAGTACAGTTCGGTATATTGTCTGCGGACGAATGTGTTAGTATTATGAAAATTTGAAATATATTTTAATTCGAAACATTTGGATATTAATATTCCACAGTCCGTACACATACATGCAGATACTCATTATTTAATGCTTTAAATATATTGTCAATTTGGAATCGAAAAAAAAAATAAAACCCCATTACCATAATAATGTGAACCAATTCATGTTAAAAAACTACGACAAATACGTATTTTATTTAATTGTATGCTTTAAAAGTATTTAAAGTATTGAGTACCTTACCATGAAAGTAGTACATGTTCACCTATACTTGGAGTGTTTTTAATGTACTCTACATAACTTTGTCTGCAGTCTTGTGTTTAATTGTAAAATATTCTTTTACTTGGATGCAATAATGAAATTTGAACATTTGTTCTATCATGTTGTATCTATTAAAATATAGAAATTAAATATTTATAAAATATTTATTTGTATATTATTAAGTACATTTTTATTTTCCATTCTAAAATTGTTGATTGAAATTTTTGAATGTATTATTTAAAATTATAAATAACATTTAATTTGTATGATTATATACTTACCTATTGGTTATTTATTATTCATAAATCAATTATATATTTCATAATTTTAAGTTTAACATACAAAAGCTTGGTTTTAAAATAAATATCTATCTATCCTTTAAAATAAAATGTCCTAATTGTTGGAAAATAAATTTTCATTTTGTGGTTTATGATGAACACAAATAAGTAGATTAAAAAAATCATTGAGATATCTTAAATATTTTAAATTGAATTATGAATTAAAATTTCTTTAATATACAAACATACATATACATTAATACACAAATATTTAATTGTATGAAAATATATCATTGATATAAAAAATAAAATTATTGCCTTTGAAAGCTAGATATGCAAGGACAATGATTTTTATGATATCCATTTAAACAAATATTAAATAATAAAAACGCTTTTGTTTATTTTAGTGGTTTTAAGACATTAAACCTCTAAATTGGTGAAGTGAAGAATTTTTCTCAGTTGACTATTTTATGAAATGCATATTATATAATAATGAGCAAATACATAAAATTTGCCAATGTAAAAGTAACCTTTTTAAACAAAAAAAGAAAAATAATATTGGCTTAAATAATTTATAAGACCTCTAAACATTTTTAAAGATATTTTGGATATAATATTTGGCTGTTAAATAAGGCTTGATAGTTCATAATAATTATGCTGTACGATACATCAATATAACATGTTTTATGGGTTTATGCTAGTTTCTTAAAATCAGCACTTGATTATTATAGAAGAATTGTTGTTACTTAGTTGTAACTACCTATTAATATTTCATATTTTAATAATAATTAAATATAAAAACAGTAAATTTACTGTTTTTTTATTTGTTTTAAGTAAAGTTTTTTCTGTTATGCATAAATAATAATATGGGAATAACAATACAAAAATAAATTTCATTCAAAAGTGAATTGTAAAAGAAGACATAATTCTCAAAAAGGGATAATCCTTTTTTAAATTAGACATATAGTCAACCTAACCTATGTTGTTCTAATGTCCTATACAAATCATTGAACTTTTACATAGTTTTTTAAGTATTCATTATTTGTTTAATGCTACTGAGTATTAGTGACCCAAATAATATTTTTATTTTATTAGAGTAAACTAGTAAATTAAAAAAATCTGTTTTTCTAATAATTTCATAAATTAAGATCTTAATTTTGAATAATTTTTTTCAAGTATCTACTTAATATTTATATAATTTTCAAGGTTTTTACTTCAATGAAGAATTCACAACTTCAATTTTATACTAATTTCATTCTAATATTTGAAACTTTAAATATTCTGTTTTAAAAATACATTAATTTGTAAATACATCTCTACTTATTTCTTAACAGTCTGATTTTATTTATATGAAGTTAATAATTCCACTTTTAAAACATTTACATAATTTACCTTGCTCTGTACATTTATTGTCTTAGATTCTGAATAGAAGCTGTGCTTTGTTCAACACTAACGAGCAGATATTTATTAAACTAGTGATTATTACACCTATAAATATCTTTTAGAAATGTCGGTGTTATGTGACAAAATTTAAGAAGTTTTTTAAAATTTGATTGATTTAAATAGAACCATAAATTAACTTTTAGATCAGGATGAGTTTTTGCTAGCCTTAAGATAGTATCATGGTACCTATTATACATTCAACCACACATTAATTAATTGATTATTAAGACTACAAAATAAATTTGAAAAGCTATATTTTCAATAAGAATTAAACATTTTAATTTAGCAGTCTTTAATTTAAGTCTATCTTAATAATTTGTAATTATTGCTAAACATTACTTGATTATTTTATTTTATTCACATATATAATGAACATATTGTTATTTAAATGTAGTTTGATATTTTTTCATGGTTAAATTTAAATATACCTAATTAATTGATGATGGTTATAGCGACGTATGTCAGTCACAGAAGGTGGCATTCGTTTTGCAGAGACTATGGAAGGTGGACGTCCAAAACTTGGGGGACTTATGGATCCTAGACAAGGTGTTATTGATCGATTTTCAAGATGTCAGACATGTGCAGGTTAAAAGATAATTTTAACTAGTTTTCAATGTATATTATTTATTCAATTTCAATTTTATTTATAGGTAACATGACTGAATGTTGTGGACATTTTGGTCATATCGAGCTAGCTAAACCTGTGTTTCATGTTGGTTTTGTAACAAAGGCCATAAAAATTTTGCGTTGTGTTTGTTTTTACTGTTCCAAATTATTAGTTAGCCCAGTAAGTATACTGTAAGTAGACTTGTTATAATTAAATTAATTTTTTTTTTTTTTGTAGACTCATCCCAAAGTAAAAGAAATTGTTATGAAATCAAAAGGACAGCAAAGAAAACGTTTAGCATTTATATATGATCTATGTAAAGGGAAAAATATTTGTGAAGGTGGTGATGAATTAGATATTAATAAGGATAATATCAATGATCCAAATATGCCTGTAAATAAAAGATTTTTTATTTAATAATAATCTGATTATATTAATGTATTCATACTAAATTTTTAGCCAAAAAAACAAGGACATGGTGGTTGTGGTCGTTATCAACCTACTATACGGCGTGTAGGTTTAGATTTGACTGCTGAATGGAAGCATGTAAATGAAGATTCCCAAGAAAAAAAAATACCTTTAACGGCTGAACGTGTGCATGAAATTTTGAAACATATAACTGATGAAGAGGTTGTAATCATGGGAATGGATCCTAAATTTGCACGTCCTGATTGGATGATACTAACAGTCTTACCTGTTCCTCCCTTACCAGTCCGACCTGCTATTGTTATGTTTGGATCTATGAGAAATCAAGTAAATCAGTTAATATATTTAAAAAAAGAAAATTTTATTTCATTTATTTTTGTGTATTACAGGACGATTTGACTCACAAATTGTGTGACATAATAAAATGTAATAATGAATTAATCCGCAATGAACAATCTGGTGCTGCTACTCATATTATAGCAGAAAATATAAGAATGTTACAATACCATGTTGCTACTTTAGTAGATAACGATATGCCGGGTCTTCCTAGGTAAGCTACCTATCTCAAAAAATGTCCATGTTAGTCAATTAAATAATATTGTTATTTACTAAAACTACAGTAGACTTTTTTCATAATATACTTAAGAAAAATATAATACGATATTTTGTAACATAATTTATATTTTTACAAATTGTCGCCATACATAATTTACATATTATTTTTTTAATTTATTAAAGAATTAAAAAGTAATAGTATATTTTAGTTGTGAAGTCATTTAATGTCAAATAAAATTTAATCAAAAAATTTGTATTTGTATGTCTTGATATTTTTCCATACATGTTAACAATTAACATGTATAAAAATATTATCCACAATGATTATATCAATATGTATACATTTATTTACATAAGCTTGTCAATTTTTATTACTATTTTTATATTATAGTGAAGCTAAAATATTTATGTATTTATTTTTAGGGCAATGCAGAAGTCTGGTAAACCTCTAAAAGCAATTAAAGCACGGTTGAAAGGTAAAGAAGGAAGAATTCGAGGAAATTTAATGGGAAAACGTGTAGATTTTTCTGCTCGCACAGTAATTACCCCTGATCCAAATCTGAGAATTGATGAAGTTGGTGTACCTCGTACTATTGCTCAAAATATGACATTTCCTGAAATTGTTACCCCGTTTAACATAGATCAGTATGTATGATTAATATATTTTTTCTTTTATAAATATTATTAATATTTATTTAAAAAAAAATGTACTGATTTTTAAAATTGTATGTTATTAGTATGTTGGAGTTAGTTCGTCGTGGTAATTCTCAATATCCTGGAGCTAAGTATATTATACGTGATAATGGAGAGCGAATTGATTTACGTTTTCATCCTAAACCTTCAGATTTGCATTTGCAATGTGGTTATAAAGTTGAAAGACACATTAAAGATGGTGATTTAGTAGTTTTCAATAGACAGCCTACTTTACACAAAATGAGTATGATGGGTCATCGAGTTAGAGTTCTACCTTGGTCTACATTTAGAATGAATTTAAGGTATATTGTTATATTATTATAAATTAATAATCTATAACTCATAGGTAATATTTATATTTTTTTTTAATAGCTGTACTTCTCCTTATAATGCTGATTTTGATGGTGACGAAATGAATCTTCATGTCCCACAATCTATGGAAACAAGAGCAGAAGTGGAAAATATCCATATTACTCCTAGACAAATTATTACTCCTCAAGCTAATAAACCTGTAATGGGAATTGTGCAAGATACTTTGACAGCCATAAGAAAAATGACAAAAAGAGATGTATTTCTTGAGAAGGTTATTATTTTATTTTTTCATTACTAAAGAGAAATAAGAATTTTATACTCTATTTTAAATAAGAGGTAAATTTAGGCATTAAACTTCTATACATGAAAGTTGTAATTGGTGTGGCTAACATGCATTAAGTACCATGCTTTCGAAACCATCACTTTATTATACCTACTATCAACTACTTTTCAAATCATACAATGTACTTTGTTTAGGAGCAAATGATGAATTTACTTATGCATCTACCAATTTGGGATGGAAAAATGCCTACCCCATGTATTCTTAAACCTAAACCAATGTGGACTGGTAAACAACTTTTCTCATTGATTATACCTGGTAATGTGAACTTGATACGTACTCATTCTACTCACCCTGATGAAGAAGACAATGGACCTTATAAATGGATATCACCCGGTGATACAAAGGTTTAATTATTATTTATTGCAATTTTATATTGATAATTTTCACATAACATTGTTATTAAAAATTATGTAAAAATGAAATAAAGATTATTATTATTATTAATATACATTTTAAAATATGACGTTTTAATGTGTAATCGTCAAAAAAAAAATTATTCACTTATTATTTTATTCTATAGTAGGTATTCATTAGATAATTAAACTATATTGATGTTAAATTATAGCAAAAATTCCCTAGGTAATTGTTACCAATTTCCATTCTCATTAATTTAATATTAACTTATTTTTTTGCTAATTATTGCATTATACTATTATATATTTAATTGTTTATTATAATTTTATATTTGTATTTATTATTTAATAATTATTATATTAATTTATAGGTAATGGTTGAACATGGTGAACTAGTGATGGGAATATTGTGTAAAAAGACCTTAGGTACTTCAGCTGGGTCATTGCTCCATATTTGTATGTTGGAATTGGGACATGAAGTGTGTGGACGGTTCTATGGTAACATTCAAACTGTGGTTAATAACTGGCTTTTATATGAAGGTAAAATACTATATTATAAATTTTTTTATTAGAATATTTTTAATTAAATTTTTTATTACTAATCTAGGTCATTCTATTGGTATTGGTGATACTATTGCTGATCCTCAAACTTATTTGGAAATTCAAAAAGCTATTAAAAAAGCTAAGGAAGATGTAATTGAAGTTATACAAAAAGCCCATAATATGGATCTCGAACCAACACCTGGTAATACTCTTCGTCAAACTTTTGAAAATCAAGTAAATAGAATTTTAAATGATGCTCGTGACAAGACTGGAGGTTCTGCTAAAAAATCATTGACTGAATACAACAATCTCAAGGCTATGGTTGTGTCAGGATCTAAAGGTTCTAATATTAATATTTCTCAGGTATGTTATATTGTTATTAGTTATTATATTATTGTTTTTATCTTACACAAACTTGGTTGGCTTTTAGGTTATTGCTTGTGTAGGACAACAAAATGTAGAAGGCAAACGTATACCATTTGGTTTTCGTAAACGCACACTGCCACATTTTATTAAAGATGATTATGGTCCAGAATCTAGAGGGTTTGTTGAAAATTCTTATCTTGCTGGTTTAACACCATCAGAATTCTACTTTCACGCTATGGGTGGTCGGGAAGGTCTTATTGATACTGCTGTAAAAACTGCTGAAACTGGTAAGTTTTTAAATTTATATAAAAATGTCTTATTATGTTTTAGTAATAATGTGTTTTACAAGGTTATATTCAGAGACGTTTGATAAAAGCTATGGAGTCTGTTATGGTTCACTATGATGGAACCATTCGTAACTCTGTTGGCCAGTTGATTCAGTTGCGTTATGGTGAAGATGGTCTTAGCGGTGAGGCAGTAGAGTTCCAAAGTATTGCTACTATTGAACCATCACACAAGAAATTTGAGGACGAGTTTAAATTTGATGTTTCAAATGAAAGACACATGAGAAAAATATTTACTGAAGACGTATTAAAAGACTTGATGGGTAGCAATGATAGTGTATCAGAATTAGAAAAAGAATGGGAACAATTAAATAACGATAGAGATACTCTTAGAGAAATTTTTCCTTCTGGAGAAAGCAAAGTGGTGTTACCATGTAATTTAAAACGTATGATTTGGAATGTACAAAAAATTTTTCATATTAACAAACGAGGACAAACCGACTTAAATCCAGTTAAAGTCATAAATGGTATGTTTGAGTAGGGTATGTATTTTAAACTACTTGTAATATGTGTTTATATTTTATGTAACTATAGGGGTTAAAGAATTGTTAGACAAGTGTGTTATTGTAGCTGGTCAAGATGAGTTGAGTAAAAAAGCAAATAAAAATGCCACATTATTGTTTCAATGTTTGGTGCGTTCCACTCTTTGCACTAAGCTAGTGTCAGAAAGATTCCGTTTATCTTCTGAAGCATTTGAGTGGTTAATTGGAGAAATTGAAAATAGATTTAAACAAGCTCAAGTATGTTTCCCTTAAAAGAAACTATGCTATTCTACATATTATTGTTTTTTTCCAGGCACAACCTGGAGAGATGGTAGGAGCATTAGCTGCTCAAAGTTTGGGAGAACCAGCTACTCAAATGACATTAAATACTTTTCATTTTGCTGGAGTATCCTCAAAGAATGTAACTCTTGGAGTACCTAGATTAAAAGTAAATTCTTAGTTGTTTTATTTTTGAAGTAGATTTGATAAATAATGTATATTAAATTAATTTTAGGAAATCATAAATATAAGTAAAAAACCAAAAGCACCATCTTTGACTGTATTTTTGACTGGAGCAGCTGCTAGAGATGCAGAAAAAGCTAAAAATGTATTGTGTCGTCTTGAACATACTACATTGAGGAAAGTTACTGCCAACACTGCTATTTATTATGATCCTGATCCTCAAAATACAGTTATTAGAGAAGATCAAGAATTTGTAAATGTTTATTATGAAATGCCTGACTTTGATCCATCAAGAATTTCACCATGGTTGTTACGTATTGAATTGGATAGAAAAAGAATGACTGGTAGTTGATAATTATATATTTTATACTTTTAGTATATTATTAATCTATGAAATTTTTATTTTATAGATAAAAAATTAACTATGGAAGCAATATCTGAAAAAATCAATGCAGGTTTTGGTGATGATCTCAATTGTATATTTAATGATGACAATGCCGATAAATTAATTTTACGTATACGCATAATGAATGGTGAAGATGGAAAAATGAATGGCGGCGATGATGAAGATACTGTTGATAAAATGGAAGATGATATGTTCCTTAGATGTATTGAAGCAAATATGTTGTCTGATATGACCTTACAAGTATATAATAGCATTGCTAGTAAAAATGTGGATTTAACATGCTATTTATTTATATTTGGTTTCTTAATTCATAGGGTATAGAAGCCATAGCAAAAGTGTACATGCATTTGCCTCAAACAGATTCAAAAAAAAGAATAATAATTACTGATACTGGAGAATTTAAAGCAATTGCTGATTGGTTGTTAGAAACTGATGGTACTAGTTTAATGAAAGTATTAAGTGAAAGAGATGTAGATCCTGTGAGAACATTTTCCAATGATATTTGTGAAATATTTTCGGTAAATATAATAACTAAAGCTACTAAATTAAAATTTGAAAAAAAAAATTGATATTAAAACAATTCTTGAATTTTAGGTTTTGGGCATTGAAGCTGTACGAAAATCTGTAGAGAAAGAAATGAACACTGTTTTGCAATTTTATGGTTTGTATGTAAACTATCGTCATTTGGCATTGTTGTGTGATGTAATGACAGCTAAAGGTCATTTGATGGCCATTACTCGACATGGTATTAATAGACAAGATACGGGAGCTTTGATGAGGTAAAAATTTATATATTATGTTATAATTTCATTATAAAATTTTATTTTATTTTATTAAATTAATAATATCTACTTATTTAGATGTTCATTTGAAGAAACAGTTGATGTGTTATTGGATGCTGCTGCACATGCAGAAGTTGATCCAATGAGAGGAGTGTCTGAGAATATTATTATGGGTCAATTGCCGAGAATGGGAACAGGTAAAAAATTATTTAATTATTTTGTTTTAATGAAAATTAAAAAATATAACATATTGTAATACACGTTTTTATTAGGTTGTTTTGATTTACTTTTGGATTCTGAAAAAGCTAAGGATGGTATAGAAATACCAATGGATAACGGTTACATGGGTATGGGTGGTGGTGGTATGTTTATGGCTGCTGGAACGCCGTCAATGTCTCCTGCCATGACACCTTGGGATCAAACTTCTACACCAGTTTATCAAAATAGCTGGTCATCAAGTAGGATACTTAAAAACCTAAAAGTACTTATTTTTCTTTTATTAAACGTCATTACATTATTTAAAGGTTTAGAAGCTGGGATGACTCCAGGAGGACCTGGATTTTCTCCAGCTGGATCTAGTGAAGCTAGTGGAACATCTCCATTTTGGATGACAAGTGGTGGAACTCCGGGTAGTCCTGGATCTCCAGGAATGGCTACCAGTCCATATGTTCCTAGTCCTAATTCTATGTCACCAAACTATAACTATCCATCAAGCCCACAATTTGGTTCAATGTCACCATCTATGACTCCTACTAATTATTCACCAACTAGTCCACAATATTCAGCTACACAACAAAATACTCCAAAATATTCTTCTATGTCACCTAACTACAACTATTCCCCAACCAGTCCATCATATTCACCTACTAGTCCATCTTACTCTCATACTTCATATTCACCAACAAGTCCTTCGTATGTATTTAAAATTATTTTAAGAAATAAAAAATTCTAACTTTTCTCTTTATTTTAGATACAGCCCAACATCTCCATCATATAGTCCAACTTCACCTTCATATAGCCCAACATCTCCGTCATACAGTCCTACTTCTCCATCATACAGCCCTACATCTCCCTCGTAAGTCAATTAAAATTATTATCAAGTTTATTGTGACTTAACACTTATAATTATTACTTTATCCTTAAGTATTAACTTATATTCACAAAAATGTATATACACAAAAATTTTAAGTTATATAATAAACTTTATTTTATTTCAGATACAGCCCTACCAGCCCTTCATATAGTCCTACGTCTCCATCATACAGCCCTACATCTCCGTCTTATAGTCCAACTTCTCCATCGTAAGTAGCATAGTAGCCTCAATATTGTCATATATTTTCAAATTTTAACAAGCTCACTAAAATATGTATAAATAATAAATTTTGATTTTAATCGCCCTTCTAAGTTTTAAGGCATTAGTTTATTCATCATGGTTTTATTAATCTGATATGAATTATTTGGTACTAATAATTAAAATTAAATTTACTTTAATAGGTATAGTCCTACATCTCCATCGTATAGTCCAACTTCACCATCTTATAGCCCAAGCTCTCCACAATACACAGCATCTTCACCGTCATATACTCCTAGTGCTACGTCTGGTGCTAGCAATTATAAATATTCACCTACCTCACCATCTCTGGCTGTAAGTCCAACTTATTCTCCAACCAGTCCAATGTATTCGCCATCAAATGCATCATACTCTCCATCTTCTGTACAACATACACCAAATGCTGGAGCTACACAATACAACCAGTCTTACAGTCCCAGTTCACCGGTTTATTCACCTACTAACTTTTCATTAGCAAGTCCCAGGTAAGATAAAATCAACAATAAGTTGCACTTTCAATTTATTTTCTTATTTATCAACTATATAATTAAAATAAAAAAATTATTTTAGATATTCTCCTACATCACCAACATATTCACCCGGTGTTGGAAGTCCAAATTATTCTCCATCTTCACCCAGCTATTCTCCGACGTCTCCAAATTATAGTGGACCAGAAGAACAGTAAATCAAAGTACAGTTTTGGTAAACAAATTCTATATATATGAATTGTTTACTTAAAACATATTTTTTTTTAGTTTCAACGTGTTTAAGTAGCTAGATACCAAATTAGAATGCTAATTTCTATGTTTAAAATATGAATTTCTTTTAATATTATATTATTGTAAATACAAATACCCGAGTTATTTATTTTTATCATTAATCCATTTTAAATCGTGAGTTACAACTATAAATGAACAATATATCAAATTATTATTATTTTAGGATCAATTTTACTGCAGGAAGTTAGTAAATTAAAATCCTAATTTGGCCCATGTCTAATGAATAATTTTTTTTTTTTATGTTTAGATATTAAATGTAAGCGTACTACAACAGATCTATTATTAATTATAGGTTCTTTTCATAAATACAATTTTTATTTTAATATAATGTTTACAACATAAAAAAATGTAATACGTCAAACTTAAAATAATTGTAGGTAACGTCCACACAATGTGCCTTAAAATAAATTTTAACAAATAACTATGATCATCATAATAATTTATAACACCATTTATATTTATACATACCGCCTATACTTGATAGACTTCGATATCATTTTTTAATTTTACTTTTGAGCAATTTGAAAAACAATAATGACTACAATAACATAAATCGATCACAAAAAAAAAATCATCTATTGTTTAATCATTTAGATAGAGTATTTATATGATGATATGTCTCTCTCGTTGTACGAATTTATTATGTACAAGAGAAATCACTGGCAATGTTAACATATATTTACATGAAACACGAAACCGTCGCGTTTCCCAGAAAAACCCACGTCAGTGGGCTCGGAGTCGTACTAGGAAATACCGAACGCGTTGGGCTGCACACTAAGAAGTAGATGTGGACGACAAGACGTCCGAGTAAGTCCTAATGATATCTGCGGCTGTCGTTTCTGTACGACCGTTCGTCGCCATGATAACCGGGCCCGGTCGGTCGGCCGTTATAGTAACCGTCGACGCCGCCACCGAAATGCCGTTGACCGTAACCGATGTCGTTATTATTGGCGGCGGAGGGCGGCCCGTAGCTTGTAGGCCTCGCGGGCATCATCGGCATCGAGTGGCCTGTGGCCTTCCGCCAACCGTCCAAATACTTGCGGCGCTGCGCCTCGTCTTCCGCCGCCTCCCTCAACCGGCGCCGCTGTGACCTCGACGAACTGCTCTCGCTCGAGTCCTCCGACGTACCCAGCCCCATGTCCTTGTCGGGCCTCGGGTTTGCGGCGTACGGTTTGTTGACCGCAGACCCACCGCCACGGTACCGCCTATCCGCTTCGTCAAAGTCCGGCTGCTGCAGCAGTGACGGGTGTGGTATGCAGTACGGGCCGCGGGCAGCGCCGTTGTTGTTGTAGCTTCCGGCTAGCTTCTGCACCGACTTGCGATCGTCTGCCGCGGAGGACGGGCGGCGAGACTTCCGCGACTGGCGGCCACCGCCGCAGCATGCGCCCGGACCGAACAGCGACAGGAGCACCGGCAGAAGAATCATGCCGTGCAGGGCGCCGAACACGATCACCAGAAATATCATTTTGAAAAACACCATGAATATGTAACTGCCGGCCAGTATCAGGGCCGACACTCCCAGCACCGTGCTAACAGCGCCCTGGATGATCGGCAGGCCCAGTGCGTACAGGCTCTCCCGGACCCGTTCTTCGGGACGCGTCGCCCCGGACGACATGTAGGCATAGCATATGTGCGCGGTGAAGTCCACTGAGAATCCTATGCACATGATCAGGTTCACCATTGATATCGTGTCCAGGTTGACGCTCCACAGGGCCATGTAGCCAACTACGCCCAATTCGATGGATACGATTGAGAAGGCCACCCACAGGGAGCACAGCACGTTCGGTATGAACAGGAACGAAATAAGCATCATCGTCGCCCCGCCCACCACCATGGATTGGATCGACGTGGGTCTAACGAGTTCAAACTGTGTGAGACACAAAAAAAAAAATAAAATCATCACGTTTTGTTACGTCTATGAGAAGGTAGGCCCTACACAAGTTGGTGCATGTACTCGAAAGCTTTTATCCGATAAAATATTATATCGGATATCATATTAATTAGGATTCTGAATTGTTATTTAAGAAAGTTTCTATTGCTATTTTAAAGTAATTAATTAAAGTTAGTTACTAATGCTTCCGAAATTAATTTAAAATAAAAACAAAATAATATCGAATCAAAAAAATAAAACAAAATAAAGGCAACAACGCAATTATATATAGGGCACACACACATATGACACAAACAATTTATTGTTTCAATTTTAAAGTAGATAGGTACCCATGTTTGATGCTACGAATGCTACGATGTATCGTCTTGATGCCACATTTATAATCGGGTTTATAATCATTCAATGATTTATGGGAAATATAAAATATATTTTCCAGGGAATAAATAATTTTATGAAGCACATATATAATATAACGATTGTGTGGTGTACGCCAGGATTATTTTCAAAACTAGGTATTGATATTCGTGAAACATCTAATTTACCTATATGTACCTACTTTATTTCGGTACAGACTAACTAAAGTTTAGTATAAGACTATCCGAAGTAAGTAAAATATATAATTTTAGATTATTTGTGTGTCAAAATATTACATGTTCCTATAATATTGTAGGTATATCTATTTAGTTATGATATAATTATAATCCGTAATCTTACCTGATCAAAAAATACGAAGTACGGATGGAAAACGCTAACATTTAATGGAGATTCATGTGCGATTTTCCGCAATTCTCTCACCATATCTTTTTCCATGTTACCGTCGCTAATATTTACCGCCTGTATCATGAATCGAGAAGCTACGATTTTGGTACCGTCGTCGTTAAACTTTACATCCAAAGAGAATGGATTTGGTTTGAATAGCCACAGCTAAAAACGTGTACAAGCAAACAATTAGATAAAAGTAAGTCGACTGTTCAAAATCATATAATATTAGTGTTTTTCTTTTATGTTAAGAATGATTTTAGCTAGATACAATTTTATATTGACGATTATGGTTAGGTAGGACATGACGTGTGTATTGCTGAATTACCAGGTGGTTACCCATCCAAAAAACTGGCAACGGAGCCACTAGATTAACACCAGCGCTGTTAGGTATTTAATGCATCCAAAGTGCCACGTCATGCCCCATCATTTAAAATTATAATATAGGTAAGTACTAAAATATTCGTACGTCGTTCAGTGTTTGCAAAAATGCTTCACGTGTATCGATAGTCACGTTGAGTTCCTCTTGGTTTCGATTTACATAATTCACAAACGATCGCACCCAAGACTCTGTGTACAGTGGACTGGATATGAACGACGAATTTTCGAAAGTCTTGGTCAAGTTCTCTATTTCGTTTTGTACGTCTACATCCCAGTAGTCCAATTCCCCGGAAATTATTACCTGAATAGAAATATTGTATTATGTTTATGTATAATGTACATAATATATTAAAACGCGCATTCATATTCTAAAGTCATTTCTTACTAATTAAATTACATTTTTAGTTGAATTGTTTTAATTTATCCGAAACAAAAATTGCAATCAGTTAAAATATTCTTATTTTTCTCATAAAAAAAAAAAAAAAAAATTAAATATCCGTTCAGACAGGGTTTCAGAAATGACTGCGCGTTTTAATGTTTTTTTCTAGATGAAATTTGATTAGACGATGTTGCTAATCTCTTTAAGGAATTAATATTAAGAATTAAGATGGCTTTAAAAACAAATTAATTTTTATAATGTAATCGATTTTCTGTCGTTACTAATTTCGTTAAAAGTTAGTGTATAAATAAAGAGGGTGTGATTCATTATTATCGTAAGGTATTTTTAAATAGGTATAGTATTAAAAAAGAAGTAAAAGACCGAAAAACAATCCTCCATTTAACTATGTATCAAATACATAATATATCATGTATGAACTAATTATATTTAATTGCTATTTCGCGATTCTCGCGTAACAATTTATGTTTAGATTATACAACACAATGGTTAAATAACGCCCAATCATTAAACTATAATACCTACTATAATTTTATATTAAATTTGAAATTCTACTCGGGGTTGTTTATTTAATACAATAATTACATGGTATATACGCGTTTATTTAGTATTTTGTGGTCATATTAAAGGATTTGAAAAAGTTAAACATTTTCAACCATGACATTTTTTATTTTTAAGATTTATTATTACTATTATTATTGTTAATTGAATTATATCTTTTAAGCAAGTTGTCATTGATGACAAAATTATCGTTTTTTTTATTACTACAGCCAAGTATGTATTATTATAATTTATAATTATACTGATATGACTGTGCCTCATCGTGCATAATACACGTCATCAATCACTATCACGTGAATAAATTTTAATCGACCAGAACCTTGAATATTAATATAATAATATTAGTTTATGAGGTTATAAGGTTAGGCTCAGTATTATCTTATAACGGATGGATGTAATACAGAAGATATAGTATATCAATAAATACTTTGAGAAAGAGATTCCGATGACAGTGGAAACCCTTAAAATAATACCAATCATAACTAAGTATTTTACTTGTATTATATATAATGCATGCTCAATGGTAATAAATAATAATATCTAAATATATTATACATCTATAACCAAATAAAGAGTTTTAAAAGGTCTAAGATCTCTTCAGAAGTGATATTTAATGTATTCGATATGATCATATTTACAGAAATGAAGGTTCTAAGGACACAAATTTCAATACTGTCTACTCATGTAATATTTTAAAAATGTATATTTATTTAAATTTGTTTGATTATTTTTTAAATAATAGAAAAAGATATAATTAGTGAAAACGATTTCATTTGATAATTTCATTGACAAATTCGCCCCTATAAAAGCAAAAAAAGTACTTTTGTAATATTGTATTAAAATAAATTTAAAATTACACAACTGTGAAAAAAAATTTTGAAGAAAATTATATTATGTTTTTATAATGTATTAATTGTTTATATTTTGAAGTAATGTAAATACAAATAGTTATTACCTAATATACGAGTACTATGTATTTATATATGATTTATATACCTCAAATGGTTTTTTCGTAAAAAAAAAAATGCAAACTTCTTATTTAGAGTAGAGAGAAGGAGCGTAAATGTAGTGGTTCGCCAAAGGGAAACCACCAGACCTCAATACGGCCTCGCTGTTCACAGATAAAACAGAATCAAGTGCATTGTTTTTAATAAAACAAATTTTAATAGTATATAAATAAATTTAACTGGATTGTGAATTCTTTTACAAATATGCTTATAATAATTATATTATATTATGTAATATCGATAGTATAAATAATAGTAATTTATTTTATTCGTACCTGAATTCTGTAAGGGAATTCTCTGAAATAAAAATCGTCTCTTTCGTAGAACTCGATGGAGTACGAGTCGGGCCTGGATAGTTTTTTCCTTTGCAGTCCTTCTTGGATGGTGGTGGTACCGTAAAGCGCGCCCGCCAGATATCCGGCGAACAATAAAAGCACCATTATCTTTATGTACCACTGGTTCAATGCCCATCCCAGACTGTCTCGGCACCAAACCATGATCGCGTTGTCTGGGTTGTCTCGAGGATTTCCTGGGTCCTTGGGATTTACTCCCCCCGAACAGAACATTCTGTACAACCACGATTCTTTGTCTGCAACGTAAATCATATATCTATTTAATATCACAGTAAACGTGGTAGGTAGGTACTTATATATGGGTACACCGGTACCTGTTACATTGATTATACAGTATGTACCAAAAGTATATATTATGTGAAATAGCGATACATCGATTTATTTAAATGCAGGTTTCTTAACAGTAATATATTATATAAAAATAAAATACCGTACGTTGATAAGCGCATAATTTTAAAACAGATAGACTGATTAAGCTCACTTTTTTTTAAATCTTCGTAATAGTCCGAATTAGGTTAATTATTAAACTTTTTATTTATATGTACCTTCACAATTTTTATATAGAATAATACACACATTTAAACAGTGAAAATGTACAAAATATATATGGTCGGTAACGTACCTATACCTAGGTAGTAGGTAGGTACCACTTTCCGTCGAAAACGTGCATATTACAGTATACTGTATAGGTATATGGTATATACATAATATATTTTATACAGTAATACTTCTACTTTGCGGTTATAAATTTCACGTACAGACATCCCGTTCTAATAAATGCATTCAAATGATCATATAATTTTATACGTGACACGAGATATATTATTGCGGTATGGATAATATTTTTTCACGTGCTCACGTACTATATGCCCAACTCATACCCATACTTATCTATACAGATATGTTTATTGTTTATGCTTATTGTACGGTCAACTATAAAATAATAAATTGTATTGTGGCTATACTTGATGACGAGTGAAAAGTGTCAATTTGAACCTCAAACATATATTTATAATAATACGTTATTTTATATTTCAATCGATTGAAAATTAAAATTTATAAAAACAAAATTGTTGGAAATTTTTAAGAATCATAATTTATAACCGCTTATCGGTTGTCCAGTAGATACGATGTTATAATTTAATTTAAGCATATATTATATAGGTATACTACCTATGTATGTACTATGTAAACTAGGTATAGGTATAATAAAATTATAGAAATGACGATTGTAGGTATAACATAACTTTCGAAAATATATATACTACTGCGGTTTATAGCATTTGCAGTCAGGCCCGGACTGGGCCACTGTACTACTGTTTTACAGCACAGTAGGCCATACGCCTTAAATTTTTTAGTAAAATACTCGAGTTTTTTTAAAACAATGAGCAAAAAAAAGAAAATGTCTTTTTTTATATTATATCTATGGGCCGCCTGTTTAATGAGAATAATAGGCCGGTATCCTCCTAGTCTGGACCTGATTGCTGTTGCATAAAATAACGATTTAAATTCATTGGGTAAAGGTAGGTACTTTTAAAATAATATTTATTATATTATATTTAAAACTGTACGCAAGCATTTATATTTACCCGCAAATATAATAGAAAAATAAAGTTTAGTCACAATCATGTTTGCTACTAATTAAAATAATTATTAGATAGATACTTAGTAAACATGATATTTGTCAACAGTATATTGATAAATTATCATCACCTAGCATAATCGTATAGCACATATTATTATAGCAAGATACTAAGCTACCTAATACTTTCATTCTAGCTTAAAAGTTAAAAGATACTCAAGGAGTAGATCACAATGTATAGCCATTAACCATAAAAATAACTTACAATTTATAGAAAACTATTTTTAGCGAAAGACTATCCATTATAATATAACATTTCCTAAAATAAAATATAATATGAAAAAAATTTGAAAATTTAATTTTAAGACATTCAAAGGAATAAATTAAGGACCGGTACCCTTTGTTACTTTTTTAATTGTTCATTAATAGGTTTTAGAAAAATATACATTAAGGGTTAAATTAAGTAAGAGTTCCCTTTACAATAAGTATTAAACGATTTTAACACTTTTTTAAAGTTATTTTTAATATCTGTTTTATTTTATATACAAAAGTATAACCATTTAATTTATCGAAAAATAATAGTCTCTAAAAAATAAAACAATAGTAGTCTATCAAACAATTTCATAAACCAAAAAAATGATTATGAAGTAAAAATAAAATTAATTTCATTATAAACGGGATAGTTTTAATTTAAAATAGAGATTTCAGTCAGATTCTAACTCCCAATATTTTAAGGGTTTTTGGTTCCAGGATCGTTTACGAACAGATTATTTTCGATTCAGTTCCAGTCTCTTGACTAAATGAATCTCAAATTATTCTGTTTATAGTTACTGGAAGTTATAGAAAACTATAATATTACTTATTAGTTATTAGGTATCGAAATTAGAAATATCAAAATATAATAAAACACAATTTAGAGTTAATTCATAGTCTACATTTAATACCATGGACTGAAATTAATTAGCTTTTTGATTTAATAATTGAAATATTTTAATTTTCTTATATAAATAAAAATATTGTAATATACCTTTATATTAAAATTTAAAATGTAATAACTTTTAATGTATTAAATTTTTCCTTTAGAATCATTTAATTTTATAACACTGGACTAAATATATATTTTTTTCATGTAACTTTTGAGGTCTTACATAATAGGTACATAACGGTAGTCGAAACTGTTTAATTAAAAAATTTGTACCTACTGTCCAAGACTATACTATATAATTATATAATTATAAAGAACTACATACCACATGGAATAAGTAACACATCGGTTTATAAATTAATCGTATGTTCATCAAAATTACCACCAAGGTTACCACAGGCATACTCAAATTTTCCTACATGATAAATAATAATACCGTACGTTGAAAACGATTTTTTTTTATTTATAATTCTTTTTTTTTTAAATGATCGTCAAATCAAAGAATCAATTGGTTTATAATTTATATTATCTATCTGATTCGCGATTTTCTTTGGTCATTGCACTATATCGTGTGTCACCCATTTCAAGGCTAAACGTTTACCTATGTAGGCAGTCGTCGCAAAATTAATAGGTATAATAAACATATAACGGTATATATCATATTATACTCATATGATAAATTAATAAAAATATATTATACTCGTAAACTTCAGTAAATATAATAATAACTGTTGTTACCAACTATTTCTACTACACTATCGCACATATTACCCATATCATAGATAATAGGTTTCTTTAATGTATCTACCAATTACCATAGATCATAGTTGTATGGAATAATAAGTATGTATATTTATTATTTAATCGGAAAATATAAAAACACCATTATTAATACAATATTGCTTTAATTTAAGTATATTAGAATTATAAATTATATAAATTATAAAATCTATCATAGTATTTTAGTTTATAACTTTAACCGATATATTCAAATTTAGTCAATTTTTTTATAACAATATTAAACAATATATTATCCATAATTCAAAATTAACGTTGGGTTCTATCATTGAATGGCCTCCCTCCTCATGTGTTCATGTTGTAAAAAAAAAAATTGTATGTATGATTAAATTTGCTTATTATGCCTTATTGTAGTATAGATTGTAAATATTATAATAAAATAAATAAAAAAAAAAAAATTATTTTTTATTTTTAAATTTATGAGGTATATTACGTAGTTTTAACTATACGTTTATATTTTTTATTATATTTTATTTATATGTTATACATACGTACTGTACATAAGTTTTATTTTTAATTATCCGCTTCCTAATAAGTACCCATAGATAATTGACGCACTACTGTAATTATTAAGAAAACTTAAAAAAAAAAAAAAACGATGAGAACTATTTAGAATAATTTTTATATAATAGTAGTATAATTGCTTTAATACCCACCTCGAACACACCCTACAATATGCAATGATGACCCACTTTAAATATACACGAGAACTAACATTTTTATACATATTGTACTATAACCATAATAAATGATTTAGGTACAACTAGTATGCACTTATAGCTCAAATATAAGCTTTTGAAGTTTATGTATCAATTTTTAAATTTTAAACTTCGAAAAAAAAAGGTAAGACAATTTTCAATAGAAATATACTAATATTATAGACTATAGAGTCATCAAACCGGTTAACTATACCAGTAGTAACAACAGGTTAGTGAACTTAAATTCGGACTATTCTGTAAAAAAAATAAGGTCATAATGCATAAACAACATTTTTTCTCAATTGTTTTTAATTTCTATTGTATGATGGTTGGTAATCACTTAATAAATTCCGTTTTTTTTCCATATGCCATAATAAATAGTAGTAGAGAAGTCATGTTTTAGTAAAAAAAATCTTGGAAAATATAAAAGGACCTATATGTAACATATATATTATATAGTTACTAAAAATGTGAATCAAAAAATTGTAATTGTCTTATAAATTAATATTGTTGTAACGTTTATGGAAAAAGTTACATAGAAATACGAACTGTAGGGTGGTAAATAAATAATGTATCGAATATAGGCAAAAAAAAGAGAAAGGAGTTTGAAAGTTGACACTAAGTAAAAGGAAAAGGCAAAAGAATTTCAATATGTACATACAAATTTAAAAACTACTAGTTTACAAAACTTGTCATTCGTATATGGATATAAATAATAATTTTTTGAATAATCTATATTCTATTGAATTTTAAATTTGTTATTATTATTATTACAGTATAGGGGTAAAATGAAAAGAAATGAAATGACACTCAATTGTTGTTTCCTGAAAAGTAGTGATTTGACTTATATTCACTTTTTCATGCGCACCATAAAATATAATCATAATATCTGTAATAATTTTATTGAACTGGTATTATAAACCTAGTAATCAATTTGCTATAAGACACTCAATATTTCAAAAACTATTAATATTTTTTAAAATATTATTTTTTACATAATTTTTAGTCATTTTCTAAATATATATACATATATATAAATTTTTATTTTTATATGGTAGTATTTTTTTAAATTTCTTAATGACAACATGCATTATTAACTCTTTACTCCAAAGCAGAATTTTTTTTAAAAAAATTACCTTGTACTCATAGCTATTATGAATTTTAATTTATAAGTATTTTAAATTTAGATGAACGGAATGGAGTGATTCAAAGATACCTCACTAATTGCTAGTCTACTATACTGCTCATCAAAATTTAAATACTAGTACTTATAAATGCAGAGTTACTACTTATTCAGAGTATTTTGGCCTATTTAATGAAAATAGGATAAGTTATATTTTATTATTTAAAAGAATAAAAAACTAAAATATGAAAACAATAAAAAATAGCAGATAAATTGTTAATACTTAAAATATTACGTTATAGAAATATTTTTAAAAAAATTAGTATTTTTTTGATACAATCATAGTATCTAACATTAAATAGATCACTCCGTATCATTGTAGTCTCCATGAACTGTAAAGGTACGAATCATGAGTTGAACAAAATTTAGATTCCTGAGTGTAGATTACGTAATATAACATATTAGAAAGAAAGAGCGGCGTCACTCAGCACCGCTCCTGTAGCTGAATATTAAATGATGGTAATATATGTTTTATTTACCTGACATCGACACCGGTTTGACTTTAACACACGTGATGGAGTGACGGTTATTGTGCTCTGCGTATCCGGCGATAGCCATGCACGCGGAAAAGAACGTCAGGTGCCATATGAATATAAAGCAGACGGCAAATCCTGCGGGGGAAAAAATGTTATCGTATAATAATATAATAATATAATAGGCGTATTTGTAAGACGCGCATTATCGTGTGATGATAATGTGACGACGGACTTCCGTCGTGTAAAATATAATATTGTACGTTAATAAATTGGTACTTACCCGAATACAAGCAGAATATTTGTATGGCCGGGAACGGGCTGAATTTTCCTATGCAGAAGCTCACTATGTCCGTGACCGAGGTGATGGTAATCGATACGGCGGCGTCGGATAGCGTTCTTGCCAATCTCTCGGGTACGTCCATGGTGACAGGAGTTCTTCGCCACGCGGCTAACATGACGAACGTGTCATCGATGCCTATGCCTGAAAAGTACAATTCAGACGGTATTAACGCACGTGAGACGAGATTATTACGTAATACAGTGCGATTAATACACAACATCACAGTCTGTTTGACATAATGATATTAATATACAGGTAACGTAGCGCAAACGTCATGTGTTACCTATATACGAAATGTATATGACGTTATATCAATCAGGAACACGTTAAGGAGAGTAAGTGAGGCATTTAGCCTAGTGTGCTTATATGGTTGAGATTATGGGGCACGCGGATATTGATTAAAAAAAAAATATGATAAAATCATTTGTTATAAAAAAAAAAAAATTGACAATTTAATTTTTTAACTAAACCTACTTTAGAGCATCAGTATACTCTACGCAGAAGCAATATGCACGGTTCTAACTACATTGTACTTATTTGAGATACACTTACCGAGTTGTATATACATAATAACTAAACATTTTATGAATCAATAAAGAGCCAATAATATTATGGTTTCTTAAACATGATTTAGTTTTGCGCGATTGATCTATTACGATTGAAATGAATACATTTTTCATGCAACCCGGCATGTATGTGTTTCAAGCAATACTTTAATAATATTAAACGTATAGATATGCCATTCCTATCTTCACTAAGCATACGCTTTTAACATTAAAAGAGAAAGAGAGACGATAATTAAATCTTGTACAGAAACTTTGGAGCGATGAAGAAACTAACTAGAGTGAAAATACAACGATATCGTGGTTAACAATGATACCAATATCAATTGTGTTAGCTTTCAGATTTATGTTTTTTGTATAATGCCACTTTCCCGCTTCCGTGAGTTAAATATCACGCCAGTGCTGTATATATTAAATGTATTGATATAATATTAGAGTTTATATTGTAATACTGATTTCTGATTTGGTGAGCTACCAAACCATTTTAATTCCAACCATTTTGAACAGAGGAAAGAGTACTTATTATTATTGCTCTTGGGTGCCCAAATGACATATTTTGATGCTACTATTATAATTCAATGATTATTTATAAATGTTTATTAGTAAAGTATCTAATACAATTTTAATGAGCAAATAATAAAATAATATAAACATTTAAATGTTATACAATGGACATTTTTATCGGGCTGAATTAAGTAAACAAAGTTTACTTTTGAACATAACTCTTCGTTATTGAAATATATTCGTATTTAAATATTCAGGCATAAAAAATGAATACAATTTTAAACTTACAGTGAACGATGTCTAGAAGAAGAGTTATGCGTCGAACGATCATTGTAAATTGTAATATAAATCACGTGTGCATGTACATTATGCATTGTGGATTAAGCGCGATTTAACTGTCTATTTGCCGTAAGCTGTACAGATAGCATTTTGACAGCAATAACATGAACACATTTCCAGTTCTTCAAAAAAATAATTATCTATAGTTTTTATATTATAATACTAAAAATGTACTACAGTGACCTATACCCTATAGCGTTTTATACTCAATAGATAATAGGAGAAAATTTAATCGTAGATTTTAGGTTAAGCACATCGATTTAGTTTAATCACGAATATTATTTAAGATATTTTGAATAAATAATAATATAATGTCATAAAATATATTGTATGCTTAAAAATATCTTATGTGTTTATGAGATAAAAAAAAAGAAAAAAAGAAAACAAGCATAAATAGTATAAACGGAAACTGAGGTTATACTGTTAAAGATTCTTAACTGATTAGAACGAACATGTACGAATTAAGTTTAAATTATATGTAATTTTAATTGTTTTAGATAATATATTATCCTATACTTTGTGTAAAAAGTGAAAATTGTCTGTTTAGATGTGTGCGCATGTCAGTGAATGTGTGTCAAATAAATCAGTGTCATGAACAACAACGGAATGGCTAATAATCACATATCGGATTATTCGTAGTCACATGTTTCTTTTATTATTATTTTTAGTTGATTTTACATTGTTATACGATCCGATAATTATACACGACTATGCACGATTTATATAATATTAAAATAGGTTGCAAGTATCTATCCTACAACAATGAAATAACATTAAGATACATAAAATAGGACAATTGGGAACTTTATGTCGATTTCAAATAGACAGATACCGTATAATATTGCTATAGTAGGTATGCTACTTATTTATATATTATACAGATCTAAATTTTATTATTTTATGTTATGAGTATATTTTTAAAATAATGAACTTATGTAAAGTAATATATTTAAAACACATAATTATTCTGTAGGTGTGTTAGTTAATTCATTTTATTGAACTTTTTTAATAAAAAGTTAATTTTGAAAAATAATGGAAAAAAATGTAATATGAATTTATATAAATATTAAAAATAATAATAAATAATGAATTTTTAGTACCTAAATACATTTGTATGAAAACCAATGTATAATATTATTATATTGTATAAAATATACCCTAATAATAATTAGTATATAACAAGAAAACCAACTGTTATCTGCCTACAGTTATGTTTTCTAAAACTTTTTAATTTGAAACGCTTAAATTATCAAAAGTAGCTTAATATATTCAGTGTTCACAATTCAGTTATTATACACGAGAAAAAACATATAATTCGTAACTACTACCACTTATTAAGAACACGAAAAATTAGATTAAATTTATTCTTACCTACTTTTCATGGTACAGACTATTGACTAACCCAGTGATTACAGAAACAAACATAAGCTAATTAAAATATACCTACTCCGTTACATATTTTAACTACATATTATTTGCAGATATTTAGTAAAATTATTTGGTAAGCCGTAACGCATTAACTAAATTATTTAAATTAACATGTACAACTAAATATTAATGTTTCAAATTGTATAGATAAATATAAGCCTTATGTTCTACGGATCAAAACGTCAACTCATTAATATAGTTCTATACATGCTTATTAATATTTTATCTATGCCGTAATAGTCAACTATCAATTACTTTTAAATCAATTTATCGTACCTACATTAAAAACAACAAATAAACAATTTTATCTTATATATATTTCAATCGATAGAAACTTTGTGGATTTGCATTGAATATAATTGAATTTCTGGTTTTTTTCTTCTTAAGTTATAGAAAGAAAAAAACAGGTAGAATTTCTATTTTGAGATAATCAGCTCTTATCCCAATGTATTCTCACGTCTACATATTTAATAATACACTAGTCATAAATAATTATTTTTATTATATACAGGATATGACCAGGACTAAAAAAAAATATAGGTAGGTTAATCACAAGACTCACGCATCGTATAAACATATATTTTAGCATTTAGGGGCACAATTTAAATACCTTACTGCCTAGGTTTGATACAAGTGAATCTCCATGATGATGCAAAATAAATCAATAAATCCAAAACTAATTTTTTTAATTAAAAAATGAATATGTTTTGTTTTTTAATTAAAACCGATTAAGATTTGATTATATTTGTTTCACTATATTATAGGATATTTCTTCATTTTTTCAAATAGAAATATTTGTTTAATGTTACCATACCGTTTAAATAATGTAATTATAGAGTTAAAACAGATAAAACTCTTTATTCCTAAAATTCCGATAGGGACACCTCGGAAATCGATAATTGTAGTCTCTGAGACCCATAAACCCTTATATTTCAGGCTACGTGCTATCAATATCACGTTCAATCAACGATATAAATAAATTATATTTTATAGTTGGTAATAGAATAATTATTATTTATCATACTCACTGCACATAAGGAATGGTGACACAAAGTTTATGCCGATGAACGGTATTCCGACATAAACGGCAAAGCCAAACGCGGCGATTGTGGCCATTGCGGCGGACACGTTGCCCATGAGCCCAAGCAAGGGTTTGCTGCGCACCCAGTCGGTCATCATGCACGTTACCACAGAGAAGACGGCCATCAAGATGAACGCCGATGAGAAGTATGGCACTACCGTTCTGGTGTTATTTTCCAGCTCGATATCCAACGTTCTGGACCCAAAGCGAGCTGTAGATATATAACTAAACCGTCCAGAGTCTTCGGCCTTGCCAACCACGTTCAAAAACGCCTCTTCCCACACCGAACCCCTGTTAAAAATCCAATATTCTTGTTACCGTCGTGTAACATTAATGTTGTATTATCATTGACACTGAACTCTACAGTGAATATTATAACTATCAACGTATACAGTCGGTAATCTTAAACAACTGTTTATTTTAAATACTTGGAAATTGTAAGGATCTTATAACGTATCTTGTTATGTTATAGATACCTAAAGTAAATTGTTCTAAATATGTCAAAATTTGTCAATATGTATGTATTGTTGAACGAATTAATGATTTATTCAGTAGTAAAAGTTAAAGTATACAGGTATAATTAAAATTAAAAAAGGCTGATTAAAGTCCATGTAAATTGAAGCGTTGTAAAATTTACTTTCTATTTACAAAAAAATAAAAAAATAAATCTTTTAGAATAATAATAAGTTAAAATTCGAAAGTTAATATTTTGTAGGTCATAAAGCAACGAGAGCTTTTTAGGTTTTTTTCCTTAGTAAAAATAATAGCGAAAATTAAATTATTTGTCTTTATGCTTTATGTTTTATGAATTCATAGAATACATTGTTACTATGATGTATTTTGTAAGTATTAAAGTTTTAAACAAATTAATAATTAATTTTGATTGAATTTAATTTAGTTTTAATTTTCTTTAAACAAAAACAGACAGTAAATTTTATATTATTAAAATATATACAGTATAACATAAAAAATAAAATAATTTAATAATACTTAACTTTAAAAATAAATAACACTTGACATGCCTTATAAATGTTATACTATATTATATAAATAGATTTTACTGTATTTATCATAGTTTTTATCTAAACTTATTGAAAAAGCTCATCATCGTATTGAAAAACAATTATAATAAGAATTAGAAATATTAAGTATAATGTTTTTGAAAACAATTGAATACAAATTATATTATTATTTTATATTATCAAACAATCTGGTTCTACATACGGTCGATAACCTTGAAATTAATATTTATAATAATATTAATTAAAGCACTAGTTTATAGTCAACATTCGGTAAAACAAACTAACTAAACTTTTAATTAAATTCATTGTTACCTTTCATCTTGTGCTTTAGTATCAGCTGTAATAAAGTAAACTAGTTGTAACGCCGGTACTCTTGTAATCAATCCATCTTCATCTACTTCAGTACCACCGAAGTAAACAGGAAACGTATGTGCGTCCCACGTAACTGGATTAAACATTATAGGAAACGTCAGTTTCAAGCTACCATTTACTACATCGTTCATCACATAGTCTAGATTTAAGATGTCATTCGGAAAACACTGGTCTATCCACCGAGCACATATATCATCATACTTATATACAGTGTTCTCTGGACCCCAAGTGATTGAAGCATTTCTGATAATATCGTCAAGTATTCGTAACTCTTTCCATATTTCAACTGATAACATTGTGTCACCCCGTTTAGGTATAACAATTACTCGACCAAATCGACCTAAAATATAATATATTTATAAATTATAGAGGAAATATAATGTGAATAAAATGCATTTTATTTTGATATAAAACAAAATATTACATTTTTAGAGACTTTAAATCTCTACATTATGTACTACTTCATTGTTCATGAAACCGTATTATTTCGTATTATAAATCATTATTAATATATATAAATATAAAATTAGATTTTTATAATAACTTATAAATCGTAAATATAAATATAGGTGTAATAATGAATGTAAATAAAAACATCAACCATTCAAACGCTTCTAATTAACTTTTAATGAAACTTCCAATCATATTATAATAATAATTTGTTATATGTTTTTTTTTTATGCTTTAAATAAATTTCCCGAAATGTGTTTAAAAATTGTTTTAATAATCGTGTATTAATGTTAGATTTAAAGATAAAAAGTTTCTATAGAATAAAATACATTATATATAACTTATGTTTGTTAAAAAAAAAAAAATATAATTATTAATTTGCTGTTTGTGAAACGTTACCCAGAAACTATTATTATTTAATTTAGACAAGATTGATATGAATCACATAAAATATCTTTCATGATTAAAATGTCCCGTTATAACTGTATAAGTGAATATAAAAAGATGCTATTAATTTAAAAATGCATTGTTATTTGACCTTTTTTTTTAAATCTAAGTAAGGTCAAATTTTTCATTCCATAAGCTTTGTATTATTTTTGTTATTTAAAATAATGTACAAAACTGCTACGTATGTTATTATTTTAAAACCTCTCAAGTCATGAACGATTGTATTTTATACTCTACAAGCTTATTTTACATTTTAGTATTTATTGTATTTTAAGTGTTCATAATGAATTAATAAAATACCATTTTTTTTTTATAATTATACTCAAATTGTATATATAATTATTTAAATAATTGTTGATGGATTAAATTATTATTTTTATTACTTCCTATCTACTTTAACATAATTGATTATAATAAATATGACACAAGAAATGTTTCGGCTATTATCAAAAATGTAAAGTAATAAATATTATAGATTATAAAAATAAATACATATAAGTACTTTATTATATATAGGTAAGGTTAATTCAACCTTAATAAAAGTATTTTAAAAACATAACAATTAATGTACTATGTAGGTTTATGTTTAAATTCTTATATTATTGTTGTTTATATTATACTATATATAAATTAAATTTTTAAACATAATGCCTTTTCTATACCTGGTCTGGTGATCCGCGTCGGATTGAAAAGTGACGAATAGTTCATCTTAAAATGACTTTCAACAATCGCTCGCTCGGTCTTGCCAGGTCCTTGTTCGGGACTGAACAAATATTCGGGATCAATTTCGAATTTAACTCGTTGAAATCCGGTGATACAGATGGCTGTCAAAAATACAGGTACCATAAGAAAGTACCCTGGATGTTTGGCAACTACTAGGCCAAGCCTGTAAAATGCTTTCGTCAGCCATTTGTCGATACATTCTATACCACAAGTCATGTCTGCAAGAAAAGAAAAAAATACATATTAATAAATCGTTATAACGGACCACGTATCACGTGATACGACCATTTCGCGTTTAATACGACTGCATATTATCTTTATTTGGTTTCATAGATGAAATGTAAAAAAAAATGATCACAACACAGCAACCAATTTTAATTTAAAGCCATGGTATGTAATCTTCTTGTAACAAAAAAATATATATATAATGTATACATGGTAAGTATACAGGTATACAACTATACAAGTAATACCGGCTAACAGAGCAAGGTCTTTATTAATATACGCCTTTTCTGGTTTACACGAAGTTCAGATGTCATTCCGCGTTGCTGGTCGAGCACTGGAACTATTACAGTATATATTCTATTAAAGTGTGCCTTGAATCACCATCGTTAAAACATAGCATGAAACGTTTTGTTCAAAACGTCAATGTTCCGCGAGTTAAAATTGGATTTTAAATCAAATTATTTATTTATTTAATCTATTTATATTTTCATAAAAAATAGACAAAGTGAATAAAAAATTTAATTAATAATGATAATAATCAAATTGGTGGTACTATAATAAAAAAATATAATAATAGAAAAATAATAATTAGTTTATAATTTTATTGATTAAACAAATTTAAAAAAATATTATAAAAAGAATGCATTCTCATTAGCCATACATAGGTATCATTCTTATCATTATTTATTGAACAATAAATGTTATAAAAGGGATTGAAAAAATAAAAAAAATACCTGAGTTAAATATAAGAACACGAAAATTAAACCAACAAAAATTTCAAAATCATAAGACAATAATTGATTAATTTTTTTAGAAAAATTATGAAATCTAGGTCTCAGCAACGCAGTTTATTTTTTGACACACGCAATTTGTTGTGTACAGCGTTATGGGTATAATCTAGCACTATAAACTATACGTATATTTCAATAGAACATAATATAATTAACATTTTTCTTTTATGTTTGATCTTTATTTTAAACACTCAGCTATTTAGATATTATATACTATCATACTATACATGCTATAACAATATATTTTTGTAAAATATCTTATTTATTTTTTTTATTATTCTTTGTAACATAGAATTTTTAGGTATTTAATATAACTATAAGCCATTAAAGTAAAATTAATTTTTCTAAAAATATCAACGTATAATAGTCGCCTATTTATAAACTATGTTATTTATAAAATATTGAACAAATCTTCTTTTTTTTTTTAGTATTTATATTTTTTATACTAACTATGCCTGTTAAAATTTAACCATGGATCTAATATTCATTAATTTTATTGTATATATTTTAGAATTTTTAGATGGATTATTAGAAATAAAACATGTATGTACTTAAGGTTTAGATGAATTTCTAGTATGTTGTACGATATTGTACGACTGCAGTTATAATTTTGCATGCATAAATTTACTGAAAATTCACCTTCACCTAGTTCCTAAATGATAATGAATAAAATTGGATAAATGTTCTACTTAAAAAGTGCTAACGTTAATCTTTTTATAAAAATATTTTCTTATTAAGAGTAAATAGAATTATTACATTAGTAAGTATACACTTAATGATATAAAAATATGTAAGACTTACTTATAACATCATTTTTTATCAAAATTACTTACTGATTATAATCAAATGTAATATTTTTAATGTTAAAAGTTAAGTTGATTATGGTTATAGACAAATTTTTAACGATTCATTTAAATTGTTTTTGTAGCATTTTTTATAAATTAGGCACAATTTTAATTCAATGTTATCAATAATGAGTTTATAAAATATATTAAAATATATTACATTGAATTTTTTCATTTAATCATTGACAGCATATTTTAGTTTCTAAACACTAAAGCATAAATACTTATAGACTATTAACGATGATTATTATTATAATTGTTCATTTACGAGTATTTATATGTGAGTATCTCTCAGTCACGAAATAAAAATATTACATTATAATTATTATAATATTATTAACAAACAAGTTTTTGTGATTAATTCATTATAATAATAATATAGTAGAAAAATCAACAGTATTTTAAAACACAAATAATTGCATTAAAAATTAATAAATCATACCAAGTTTAACTAGGCGTTCAAAAATATTAACTATTTAATTTGTATTAAAATATGTAACCATACTTTTTTTATTTTGTATTCGGTATTTAGAGTACTACGCGAACTAATCAAAACATTAAAGTTGTATACAAACCTGTCTATTTGATGTACACTATTAGTGACAATTATATATCACAGTTACTATTAACTAAGAAAGTTATTAAATACACAAAATATTTACTAAATAAGTACAATATTTAAATTTTACCTATTAACACTGTTAAAAACTAAATTGTTTACAATCTGCATTACAATAATATAAAATCATTTACACATAATAGTCTCTAGTAATATTATTTATGTTCATATATTTTAACCATTAATTGATATTTAAAATCAAAATTCATTTAAAATTATGTAAGATTTTTACTTTGATTTTCAGTTAATTTAAAATAAATTGTAGACTTTATTCAGTAAAATTTTTTTTAAATCGTGTGAAAAACGATGTCATAAAAATTAAAATATTATAATCGTGAGAACCACTTGCGGTAGTATTCATAGATCATAAAATATTTAATTTCCTGATTAAACTGAAAAGATAATCCTCTTTAATACCGATTTAGAATTATTTTTTTTAGTTGAATTATTCATGTATATTATTAAATTTTATCATATTTAAACGTATTGGTACTAGGTACATATTATAATCATGTAAAAACTAAAAATATAAAAATATTTTTATGTAAAAATAATAAATTATCCACGTATCCATCTAAAAGTGTTTTTACATTTTTGAAAACTCTTTTGAGTATAATTATTATTATGTAGGATATATTATATTAATTATAAAAATATTATTTATTTTTATACACATCAACTCTTGTGTTGTCATTTCAATTTCTTCCAAAAATAATTAATGCCCTTAAGTAAATATTAACAATTTGGTATGTGTGTCATTGTAGCATGTAACTTTATTTATAAATGTAGTTAAATATATACATTTTTGTATATTGACATTCGTTTTCCTAAAACACCAATAATCACTGAAATGTTTTGAAGAATTATGTCTACTCTTGATACGGACCATAAACATGCGACCGGTCATCAAAATAATTGACAAAAGTCGATCAGATATGATTGTAGCACTCTCTTAAAATAGTTTGTGACGAATAAAAATCTTTAACGACACGACGGTATTACACCATTTAATAAATATGTTACATATATAAATATATTATAATTAAGTGTAACCAAATTTTGCCGTAATTTTGTCCTATTGTTTTTCGATTTCTTAATCTATGTGGGAAGCGAACTGCTGAAACACTTCAATTAGCAAGCTCTTATTTCTTTTTTACGTCGATGGCCGCAGACTAGTGACGCAGTTTCTCGATTTGATTTAGATGATTATGTAGTATATGTATATTGTAATGAGATCTTATTCGATTGATACAATTGCACCGGAGCCACGGGGAAGACGTCGATAAACGAATTTCTCAGTCGGATACTTCATCTGATAAATGTCACATTGATATAAATATATGATAACGGCCTATACTTAACCAGTGTGCATGTGTATAATACAATATTGCGTGCTGCGTGAAGTTATTACGGGCATTGTCTCCGAGAATGGAAAAAATAGACAAAAAAATAAAAATCGTTTTGTATTTATATATATATATATTTAATATTTATCTTATAATAGCAATATCAATGACAAAAACAGTAGTATGAGTCGAATAATTGGTCTCGGTCTACATTCGTCAGTTATATACCGATATAGGTATATCATTGACTAGTATTTTTTTCGAACATAGTAATTCAGGTGCGTGTGAAGTTGTGCGACCGAAACGTATGCTATATACAATGATTATGATTATTATTAACATCTTAACATAATATTATGCACAACCGTTGAACTAAATGCGTACATATAATATATTATATTATGTACTTATATAGATGTGTGTGCGGTGCATCGATGCAGGTTATAACCGCTCTAATGTGATGCAATCGCGGTTTTTTGGTGTTTTCTCGTCTTTAAAAGTATTTCAACAATCTTGTAGCTTCGGCACTGATGATGGGAAAAATAAAATACTACATTCTTATTATTTATGTTCCTGTGAACATTTTGATATGATATGGAATATACCAGACTACAATAAACTAAAGTATACCTAGGGACACGACTTGCAATCGACGTGAATTATTATCGATCGAAATGGTGTATTGACGATCCGTACACGAATACCGAAAATTATATGTAAAAAGTGTAATAATATGTTGCAGTGTACAACGTAAGGCTAAATACGATTGACTATATATCATATTATACAGATTTTAAATATTCAGTTTTCAGAAAAAAATAAATTAGAATTTCTAAAAAAAAAAATTGCAAAGTATGATATTTTTGTTTGTTGAATACACACCTGCATGAACACAATTAAGAGGCTTGTTGACAAGTAAATTATTCTGTAGAATCTCAAAATAGCACAATATACCTTTATAGTGGAAGTTTTCAAAAGTTTCAAAAATTGCTGTTAATCAGCCATTTACCATGTTTATGATGTAAAATCACAAAAAAAAAAACTACGAATAATTTTCGGAAAAGGTAATATTGTAGCTAGTGAACCGACAGAATCGACAGAATTTATAATACATATACACTGGCTACAACCATAAAATGAGTCGACATGTTATTCCTATACTAGATAGTAGAGAAAAGTTAAGTTACGTTTTGAAAACCTGGACGCGTTTTAATTAATTACATAGCGTCTGCAATAGCATATCGGTTATGCATATGCTACGCTTTAATGTTAAAGATAGCGATATGTATCCAAGACAAGCCGCAGATCATAACTGTATAACAAAATAATAAAGTGTTACAATCACATTATATGTATATAGGCTTTTAGTTAGCGCATTTGTGCATTTAAGAC